GGAGCATGCGTTTCCATCCTTTTTTTTTTTTGTAATATTCCACAGTTTTTTTTTTTTTTTTTTTTTTTTTTTTTTTTTCTTTTCGGTTCGCCGTAATATAATATGCAAAAGTTATGTAAAATGTAACGAAGAGGTTGAAAAAGAATTACTGCAAAATCCTTAAGAGCACGTAATGCCAGCTTAAGGATGACGCTCGAACTCTGTGAAAATGTTAATGAGTGGTGAATTGAAAACATAAGTTATACCACTGATTTCTTGAGCATCAATACATAATTTACAAAGAAGCCTTGATCCCCTTGCTTTTCGACCTTTTTTTTTTTTTTTTTAGTACAAAATCAAAGTTGAAAAATTGTCCTCCCTTTTTTTTTTTTTTTTTTTTTTGAAGCAGGAGCCAGTGCTACGATTGTTGGCAGGTAACTAAAACACTGCGCAAGCTAAGACAAAATTTAGGAAAGTATTTTCGTAAGTTGCTTAACTGGTAGTTGTTTTTTTTTTTTTTTTTTGTAAGACAGAGAAAAAAAGTGAGAAAGGTCGAAAAGCACTCCATCCAAGTAGAGTAGTTCGAAGACAAACGGTGACTGCCTTAATGGCAGTTTAGATCAAACCGCTGAATTTACAACTTCCAATAGAATCAACACAAATTATTATTACCCTTATTAAGGTAAACAGAGATGATGAGAGGATTTGGGAAGAAGGAGAAAGATGGTGAAGAGATGAAGAATGAAAAGGATGAAGAGGATAACAAAGATTAAAAGGTCCCGGTTTCTGCATAGACTTGGCTTGCGTCTCTGCCTGGGTGTCTTGGGTTGCTGTGGGAAAGAGGATTGGGGAGGAGGGGTTTGAATGACAGGTGAGTGGGGTTTGGTTACTATAAAAAGAGGTTGAAGAGGGAGAGGATGAGCAGGAGAGGAGTTGTCAGAGGAGGAAGATTCCTCTTCTTCAGCCTTCCCGGATTTCCTTTTCCTGGAATGGGTTTGCGGCGGCGTTTTGGGTGCTTTCTTCGGCATGTCGTGCAACACTTCTAAAACTTATGCGCTTCAAGTTCTTTCTGCCCTTAGTGAAATAAAAGAAGAAACGGGTATAGTCGGGAGTGAAGGGAGGGGAGGGATCCAAAGGCAGGACTAGGTGACGAACGTAAACTGGAAGGTTGTCGAATGCTTCCTTCCTGAGAAATCTAAGTCAGGGACCCGACACCCAATCTGCGAGCTCTTCGATGCGAAGAAAGTTGACTGCTCTTTCCCCCCAAAAGTGAAGAATTCCTTGAAATGAGCGGCTATTGGAAAGGCGAGAAAAGGCAACGATGCCAACCCAGGAAGATTGTCCTCCAAGGTAAGTAGTTCCTTCTTAACCCATGAAAAAACTGATATGTCATTCATACAAGCCACGCAGATTGAGAGGCAGTAGAAGTTGGCCGCGATGTCGCTTGCGCACGTTAGCTGGAATTCGGCCAAGTCCAAATGAGCCCTGAGAAGCTCCCTTCAAGAGAGCGAGAAGAGTGGCCTTGAGTAAGTTGAGTCGATGAAGATGAGCTTGAAGAGCGTTGCAGAAAAAAGTGAGTAGGACAGAAGCTCCGCGGCACACTTGCGTTTGATTATGTAGAAGGACTTGTCGCCGTGCTGAAAACGAAACTTAGCGGCGTCGATGCAGAAAAGCTCGATATCCTTGGCATTGAGAAGCGTGCCGTACTTGTTAATCACCCTGCATTCTTAAAACTTGATGAAAGAAGGTGGAATGAGGAGAGGAAGGGCGAAGAGATGAAGCGGTTGGAGGATCAATAACGAAAATCCTTTCTAGCGCAGGATCGGTGGCTATCGGTGGTGAAGACCTGGAAGTGGGGAATTCAATGAGAGAGGCAAAGAATTGGAGGAGGTGATGCGATAGGGCAGGAGAAAAAGATTGCAGCATGAGATTAGCCGGGAAGAGATGCTTGAGAAAGGGGTCGAAGAGCAGAGGTTGCTCGAACGGAGGGGAATGATAGGAGGAGGAGGAGGGAGACAGAGGTCTGGAAGAGGGAGGAGAAGAGCGGGATTGGGAAGGAGAGGCAGAAGAGGCCTGGCGACAGGGTGGAGACAGGGCCGAGGTGCAAAGTGTGAGACGGCCAGATGCACCCTCGCCGTTCATGGTGAGGGTCCTGGGGGGCTTACCGGTGGTATAAGTAGCTGAGAGGGCTGGTTGCAAGGAGGGTGGACCGAGTGCAGACCTGTTTAACCGTAGTTACGCAATGCAAGAACGTGGCTTAAGACTGGTGCAAATGAAGAATGGTGAAAGCGAGAAGCAGGCTTTAGGGGCCGATTTGCCAAAAAGGCGAGATAAATGACCTGTCCTCAAGAGCGGTTGGCTGACTTTCCTGATGTGACTTGCAGATTTGCCTATGCAATGGGCGTGGCGGCTGGCGGAAGAAGTGAGGAAAGTGCGCAGCGAGAGTTGACGCCTTCTGCTGCGACCGGTCCTGCACCTGTTACTTATGCTCTTGCTGCTCCTGGAAGCAGCGGAGGTCGGACTGCCGAGGGACTGCTTCCTGCTGGGTGAGTTCCGCTGGTACCCTTGCGACAACCAAATATGCTGATGAAGAGATACTCCAACCGTAGATCCATAAAAATAGGAGAATAGACAAGTTCCGTAACTGAAAGAACCGTAGATGAAGAGAATCAACCGTGGACTAGTGCCCCTAAGATGAAAAGACAACTCCCGCGGTTGAAGTCGTGGTTCAGCAAAGATGGGAAATCGGGGCCGTGGGAATAGAAACCAACCGCAAGGCCCGGACCAGGACAATTGCTCTACCAACGACGCTACGGGCCAATTCCCACTAGCATCGTTGAGGTACCTCAACGCCTGAATCTGGACGTGTTTGTGAAGACGTGCAGTTCAACAAACTCAACACCATTTCTGCACATCTCCGCAAAAGCGTCCACATTCAGGCCTTGAGGTAGCTCAACGCTGCTTGTGGGACTTGCCCCCGGGCCCATTTTGGTACATGGCAACATGCATTCCGCTGGCCTCTCTCCTCTGTGTAACCGTTTGAACGCCATGAACGCGCGTTCGCATTCAAATGTGCGTTTGAACGTGGATTTAAATTCATGTTCAAAATTGAACGGCCTTCAATTATTTTTTTATTTTTTTATTTATTTTTTAAATTATTTCGATGCCTAAAAATAACTTTTTTTTTCTGATTTTGTTTTTATGAGTTCTGTATGATGTGAGGTACATGCCTCTCAATTTTGGAGTCATTTTGCTAAGGCAAAAAAAAAAGAAAAATCGCCAAAGATGGCTGTGTCAAATCGTGTTCGCTCACTGATTTCAATTCTTTTTTTACTTTTTTCTATTTTCTGTTTTCTATTTTTTTTTTCCAATTTGGTAACGAATTTAGATGTAATGCTCAGGCAAATGTTGTTTATTTTAGTTTTCTTCATAACATATTTTTTTTCCGGAATTTTTTGAGGTTTTGTTTTTATGTTTTTTTTTCCCCCCCGTGCAGAATTGAACTCCGCGTTCGGTCCCGTTCATTGAACGCGCGTGCATTCCGTTCAGTTTCTGAATGGAAAACCCCCAACGCGCGTTCAAAGAACGCGCGGTTTCACTGCCTCTCTCTTCAAATTGCGTGATCATGCATTCGTTCCGTCCCCTCAAAATCCGGCTGCGAGCCCCCAACAACACGGTATGTCTGTTTTTTTTTTTTTTTTTTTTTTTTTTTTTGTATGTCAGTTTTGAGGCCACAACGAGCAGCGACCATCGATGTCCCACCTCATCTAGGGACCGTCGTTTCGTTCCCACATGCTTTGTCGGATGTGATCAGGTGCTGTCGTCAGCTTCGTAGTCAAACACCGGTGATTCTATTCTACGTCGACGGCTTTTGTTTTCACAAAATTCTATTCTGGAAAGACTCAGAGCGACCGAAGTGTGGAATCAAAGTCCCCCCATCGAGTGGCAGCAGTGGCTATGGCCAACACTCTCCCACATAGACCCTACTAACACCGATCAGAAGTAGGAGGGAGGCGCAGCTACTAGCAAAATGATTGGTCTTTCCGTTAGCCGGCGCCCTCAACCCTCGGCCCCACCCTACTCCCTGACCACCGCCGAAGTAGCTATTCTTGCAGGGGTCCCCTTTACCCTTTATAGGCTTAGAATTTTTTTTTTTTTTTTTTTTTTTTTTTTTTTT